AGGCTGCCCGCCCGCAGGGGTGTCCTCCCAGCCGCGTAAACCGAACCCCGACCGCTCCCAGCGTAGGTACAGCTTGGGGTCCACGCTACCCACGTTAGCATTAGTATTTTCCCCCTTTTCCAGCCTGTATTTTACTTCAGCCGAGTGTTGAATGATGTAGGATTCACTTAGGGTCAAGAGGAACCATTGCTGAGGTAAGCTGGAAACCAAAGCCAGGCTTGAAACTGGTGGCTGTTGGCCCGCGAAGTGGACCCGCTGGAAGGGTCCCGGAGAGCCTGCAGCCCCCACCCCCCACGGAGAACCTTCTGGCGGGGAGAAAAAGTGCTGTGAACTGCTGAAGACATTTTTTCCTTCTAGCAGTGGATCGGTCCCAGAGCTCCTCTTCTCGCAGGCTTCCTGCAGGGGCACCTTGTTTCTGGCATGCAGGGTGTATGATCAGTAAGAGCAGATGTTTTTCTAGTAAGTTATATTTTTTACTTAATTTTTTAATTCCAAAAGGAGGCTGTCCCTTACACATCTCAAGACGTGACCTGAAAGTAATTATAAATGTAGTAGAAAACCAGTACTTCATACTCTTGCACTCTGAACGTTTTGGTGTTCTAATAATCTAATGTACTTTTCTACTGACGGCTAATTTAAAGTTACTTTGGTATTTCAAAGAAATACTAAATTCACCATTATCCACTCACAATTCTTTTTAACAGTCGGACACAAAATGAAGGTCATCCAAAATGGTTCGTTCTGGGCGTTGGACAAGTCATAAAAGGGTTAGATATTGCTATGATGAGTATGTGTCCTGGAGAAAAACGGAAAGTCACCATCCCTCCATCACTAGCATATGGACAGCAAGGATACGGTAAAAAGAAGATTTCATGCTAAGCCTTGTCTTTCCTCTGCTTCACCCTTTCAAACATACAGTGGTGTAAAGGACTGTGAGAATTTGTACTCACGTTATTTTTGGGGGCACTGAAGGTGCTGCAGCTGTGCAGCCCAATCCTGCTCATTCCTGTACTGTTTCAGCAGTTCTCATCACAGAACCGCAGACAGGCTTTGGTGGTTTGCACTAGAATTCAGTACATGGCACCCGGAGGGTTTTCCCAAATATTGACATAATGCAAAAAATTGACAGCAAAAGGAAGATCTTCATGATCCATATCAGCATTTTTTTCTTAATCTGTTTATTTATGTTTAGTTTCTGCTGTTTGACTCCCACCTGCTTAGCCTTTTAAAGACACTGTATCTTATGTGCAAAACAGACTGTAATCTGGTGTATGCCACAGAATTAATCTAAGTAGAAATAATTTGTTTAAAACACTGCTTACATTCTAAATAGTTAATGGACAGTATCATCACAGAATGGCCAGGGTTGGAAGGCACCTCTGGAGGTTATCTAGTCCAACATCCCTGCTGAAGCAGGTTGCACAGGAATGTGTCCAGGCAGGTTTTAAATACCTCCAGAGAAGGAGACTCCACAGCCTCTCTGGGCAGCCTGCTCCAGTGCTCTGTCACCCTCAAAGTAAAGAGAAAAGTAAAAGTTTTTCACATTACACAATAACTTTAACAGTACAATGCGTTAAACCTGATTTTAATTTATAATGCTTAAATGTGCAGTCTACTTTAAAAACGAAAAAAAAAAATCCAGTCAGAATTTTATGCACTCTTTCAGCACTCTTCATTGTTGATAATTTAAATTCAGCTTTGACTTGGGTACAGTATTTTCTGTGAAAAGGTAGCTCCTGCTCTATAATAATTGTTTGATAGTGATATTATGTCAGAATTCCATGCACCAGTTTTGTCTTTCATGCAATTGCATTGTAGACAGTGAGTTTTACTAGGAGGAAGTTTTTGCCCTTGAGCAAGCCTTAATAAGTAAGTCTCATAACAACCAGGAGAATCACCGGCACAAATAAAAGTATGTTCTTTAATACTACCATTAACTGTTTGTTCTAGGTAGCACTTCAAGAAAGTATTTTCCTGCAGCATACCTGTCCTCTGTCTCAGCATATTTCTGCATGCTGGAGAAGATGCCTGCATAACCTTGAACTAGAAAAGATGCATGTGGCTTTCTAAATCTTTGCATACCTTTCCTTTGTTGGTATGTATATTTGTGAGCTACAGGCTCTGAATTCTAGTATCTTTCTTTTGTAAATAGTATATAAGCCATGATTTATATTCATGTATATTTAAAATTTCAACATTTTTAAATCTTATAAGATTAAAGTCTTTTGTAGAAAAACTGTCATTTTTACTGTGGATATTCTAGGTGACCAGTGTAATAGTACTTTGTTTATAAACAAGTGGATTCTTTTAGTTTTTCTTCAGTTTATGAAGGATGGCTGCAAGCTCAAAATTCTGTCCAAATTTTCAGGTTACAAAGTCACACTCACTGACCTTGTCTATGAATAGAAGCAACTTGCATGTTTACATTTTAATTTTACACTGCATGATTTCCTGATGCTTTTCTGGCTTTACTTCTAGACCTCATTAGTTTGTTACTGCCTCTCTTCAGTTCCTTATTTTTTTGCCAGATGCTTGATACAATGACCTGTGTTTAGGGGCAATGGTGTTTTTATATCAGATATCAGCAAATGCTCTGATGAAGAAGTAATGAAGTCTAATGTGGTTGGTTGTGTTTGTTTGGGTTTTTTTTATTATTCAGGGACCAGATAAAATATTCGAGTAGCTTTTGGGTTGTTCATTGGGGCTTTTTATGTGAATCAGATGACTTAGATTCTATTGCTTCTTTCTAATGAGATGCATGTTTTAACCACTATTTTACAAGAAGGCCTTTAACCATAGGTGTCTTTCCCAGAAAGTTGGTAAAGGCTGATGCTACTTTCTTGTTTCTTCAGATGGAAAATATATATGAGCATTGGTCTGTTACTGTAATTTTTTCAATCAAATTGCAGATATTTAATAAAGGTATACAACTTATAATCAATCTTTCAATAAGCCCCATCCTGTGATAGTATGTGAATCTTGTGCTGACCACTTGTCTGATACAGAATGATGCTATCATTAAGAGGCAGATCAGCCACCAAATTCCTCCCTCCACTCCCACATCACACACCAGAGATCCAAAGTGGGGGAGGAACAAGTCAATGCACTCACCCACCACAGTGGACATGAAGAAGGGAGCAAGCCAAACAATGAGCCTGGCAATGGTAACAGCCAGGCCATGAGCCGAGTTACATAGCAGGGGCTCAGAGACAACTTCATGTTCTGGGCCTGCCATCCTGGGAATTCCACTTGCCCGACTTGTCCCCTTGAAGAGTCAGGGAGCCCTTCTGGTAGCCAGAATCCACACACAACACACCCACTATGCCAACAGACCTCCCAGCCCCACTGCAAGCAGAGTCAGCTCTTATGTAGGTGGTTTCTTGCCCTGCCTCCAAGTTAATGTGGAAGATGGGGGCTTCTGATGGTGATCTCCTAATCAGCTCCCACCCAAAGCTGGTCAGGCCCTGGGTGAAAACCAATCAGGAGGATCTTTCTTGCCTGGTTGTGGACATCATCCATATGCCAGCCCTCATTCAGGTGAAGGTGTGAGAACTTTAGAAGTAGTTGTTTTTCATCATAACACAAGCCCTACTGTTAATTTTTTTAAGTACCTGAATTATTATATAAGCAATATAGGTTTGTTTTGGGAAGTATATTGTGTGCAAATCTCTCTCAAAATCATTTATCTAACACAATCTGAACAAGCATGCTGTCTAGCTGTATAATATTTAATTCAGAGTTTAATCTGAATATTTATAGAGCCTTCTGTAATAAAAATATAAGATTATGTGAATTTATCATATGTGTGATCTATGCCCATAATATTTGTCTTCTTAAATGCTTTTTTTTTTTTATTCATAGCACAGGGCAATATTCCACCCAATGCAACACTGATCTTTGAGATTGAACTTTATGCAGTAAATAAGGGACCTCGCAGTGTTGAAGCATTTAATCAAATAGACAAGGACAGTGACAAGAAACTTTCTCAACTTGAGGTAATATGATGTAACTAATTTGGAATAAATAATTTATAAAACTATAGGTATAGTTGCATCACGGTTATCTTTGCACGAGTTGCCACTGCTGCAGTTCATCTTGTAAAGCTTCCATATGCTTACACAAACCACACTGTTGAAATTTGCTCTGATTAATCACTTAGTGTGTCTCATACTTGCTGGGAAACAACTTTAGACTCGTCCGTACTGGAGTCACAATAACTTACATTAATCTACCCCAAGTGTCCTTGAAGACAGTTGTTGACTACTGGCATAAAAGCCACAATGGTTGGACTTTTTTTTTTTTCTTTTCTTCCAGATAAGCCAGTATTTGAAAGAAGAATTTGCAAGAGATGGCAAAAAACGTCATCCCTCAGTCCATGATGAAATCTTAGCTGATATATTTAAGAAGAATGACCATGATGGAGATGGTTTCATATCAGCAAAGGAATACAATGTCTACCAGCATGATGAACTCTAAATAATTAAAAAATCTTTTTCTGTTTTCCAGATACTGAATTTTAGATAATAATACTTTGTCACAGAATTTTTTGTATTATAATGGTATCTTTTTGTATGTCTTAAGGCGACTGTAAAAATCTTATTTTTTAACATTCAATTAATAAAATGTGTTAGATATTTCAAAAGAAAGAAATAGAATTGGAAAACACCATGATCTATTAGTAGCGGTTCCTGTGTCATGCCATAACCTAAAGTATTGCTCAGTAGTCTTTCTCATTGTGTAAAATACTTATTAAAATAATTGTCCTATCAAGAATACAAGAACGGTTCCAGTACCTGCTGACATAGCTTGAACATAACTGATGAGTACTTCTGAATCCCCTGTAAAATAAAAGGGGAAAACACAATCCCAGGAAGGTAACTGTTAAACCTTTGCAGGCTCCTAGGATAGCTTCTCTAGAAATTGCTGTTTGGAGCAAATTTAACTATAAAAGGCCTTAAAATAAGTGATTCCTAGAGAATCCCTCACTTTGGAAAAATGCAAAGATGTAGCAATAGTCAACAGAAAGTAATTCAGGTTAGTTAACTGTCCTCCTTACGCCGTTGTCATCGTACTTGGGTAACAATTTTCTCATGTGAATGGCTGTATTCATTTCAACATGTAATAATCCAATGTGCTCAGTGAAGGTGGCAGCACAAGTCAAAAAGCTTCTATACTTGGGTTATCCTTAAAATCATGCTAAAAAGTAGAAAGCCTTTTTTAAATTGTTTTCCTAGTTTAAAATAGCATGGGGAGAGCTTTAACAGGGTACTAACCAACAGCACTCCCGAGCTCAGTATTGGACCCAATTTTGTAGTGCCCTCTGGTGGCTATATTCTTAACCACACAGACTTAATTTTCCGTGGCTGAGATCTACCAGCTGAAGACCTCCAACCCCAACGCCTTGTTTATTTGCATAAGCTTCCAAAACTTTTTTTGCTAAGCTATTTTTTTCTGAACATGTAAAAGGAAGTCAAGAACAGCTGTGACCTAAAACCCAGATGCAGAAGGTGGACTGGCTGGTACTTTTTAGTAATATACACAAACTGCTGATGTGTGGTAATAGCATCCTAATATGAAACGCCTATCCCTAGTTTTAGGTGTTCCCTTTTGTAAATGAAACATTAGACTGAGCTAAATTTTACCATGTTTTTTAATCCGATACTTCAATTAAACATTTATGAGAACACTAAATAATTAAAAAATATTCTCATTTTACCATCACATGCCAGTGTGGCAAAAGGCAACATTTTGGGGTTTAACAAGTTTATGTAAACAACTTAAAGTCAGTTCTAACATATATTTTGACATTATGAAAATACAGATTTAAAGTACATTTCTCATTATCATGATAACGCACAGAGAAGGTTCTAGGAAGAAGAAAAGCAGTATCAGAATGCACGAGCACATTTTCAAGTAAAAGGTCATTGTGAAGCAAATAATTCGAAGATAATAGTGTAATAAAGTGTTTTGCACTTAGACTATTTTGCATTTCAACAATTTGAGTCGTATTTGCTAATTCTGAAAAGTTTGTGGCACAGTTACGCTTGTCTCTGCGACAACAGGCACTTACCTACCTCGGTTACTTCACTCGCTTGTGCCAGAGGTCAAAACAGGGCACAGCATGCAGTCGTACGTACTTCTGCCCATTAAAAGAGCACTCTAGGCATCCGTAGACTGTCTCCCTTTTAGAACTTCCCATTCCACAAAGGACACAGGGACCTTTGGGGATGTGGTTATTAAGTAAATTAATTCGGATGTGAGACCCTTCTCTGAGATAGCTTGTAGAGAGTTCAGTCATGCTTGCAGTTTTTTCATAATAATCTGTAAAAAGGTCCTCTAAGTAAGCATCAGAGTTAGCAATGGTATCTGCTACTCTTTTATCTGGAAAAGAACGCACAAAAAAAAAAAAGCAACCATGTGTCATTACATTATGAACTGTACAAAACAGTTTACATAAACTGTTTACAAAAATCTGTCAGTCTAATTATGGAAATAACCACTGATTCATGAAACCATTGAAACATGCCGTGTCGTGGATTACTTCCCATAAAATGCCCCACGTGTTGAAACTTTAATTTCGCATGAGGCAAGCTTTTGAAAAATGAGTGCTAAATCAAATCACAGCTGTGTACATTCCTGTTTAACCATTTTATTTTTGCATTTTTGTGCAAAATCTTCACATTTTCTAAAATTTGTAAATTCAATTTTTTTTTCCCCCTGGTATTTACATCTAAATCAACAATACTTAACAGGTGTACAAAATTTGGGGGACTTCATGTTAACTCCTAGCAGATATGCTGAGCATCCAAACACCTTGGGAGAAAACACTTTGGGAACTACCTACCTTTTTCCTCTCTCTTCAGGGACTGATTATTTTAGACTGGATGACAAGCATTTAGGCAGCTACAGTATTGAGAAACATCATACCTACTGAAGATTTATTCCCCTACTGTGGACTAGAGCAGTGCTTAAGGCTTGGTCCGTAAAAGCCATTTGGTCAAGAACAGGATACAATGGAGCAAGGACTCCTATACAAAGCAGCCTTTTGAAGAACGTGTTTACCACTCAACATTTAGATTCACACTCAGATTTGCAGATTTCCAAAATACTTAGACCAAAGAGTGGTAAAAGTTTAGAATCCTGTTCCGAAGAAAATATAGCTACACACAGTGACACTGAGTTTTGCTGGATGTCATGTTCTTATCAGAATAAGAAAAGAGAACTGGGATTGTGTCTTGCCTATGTCCCTGCCATGTGAATACACAGCCTAAAGAGTATATTCAAATATTTAGATTAAAATTGTTTAATATTTAAACTTAAAGAGTTTGACCTGAAATATTATTTCTATGTTATCACTTGTATTGCATAACATAGCTGTAAATGGCAAGTATGTGAAACAGGCTTAATATTTACTGCAGTAAGTTGTATAATTACTCCATAACAATTTATCATCAGCCATAAATTTTTATTTTGAGATCTTCAGGGTTTTGATGAACAGCAATACCATAAATTTGTATTTGTGAAAAAGATTCTCAAATATAAAATTTAATAACTTTACAATCATTTCAATGCACAAGAAATTAAAAGAGGTACATTTTCCATCAACAGTTTCGTCTTTAAAGATTCATCTTGCACACAAACAAAACTACACTCTTTATGCATTAACTAAAACATTTGGATATAAGTATCAAAAATCATACTTCGATGAAACAGATTACTCTTTAACCTCCTTAATTTGGTCAGTGAAGATGATCCAGATTTCTCTCTTTCAAATCCTCCTTTTGAAATTGGAGTCACACAGAGTTCTGTAAAAATCAAAAATACCTTTTTAGAAGAATGAAATATAAAAGCGATAATTGCACAACAGGGTTCAATCTATAAAGTTAACAGTGATTAAATTCAGCTTTGGTCATGTTTTTAATGTCTAGTACCACTTCTTAGTACAAGTCTGCACACAGTAATAACCCATAGAATAAAAGGACCCAGATTCAATAGTCATTTTTAAATGTCAGTGGCTTTCAACATACATCATCAGTTTGGTTTGGGTTTTACACAATTTGTGGTCATGTTAAGGGACTAAAATAGTCAAAATCATATAAATGGAAGTCCCACTTCTGAAGGAGAAACAAGGAAGACTGTCAGTTTTGTAGTCATCTCGTCCAACATCAAATCAACCACTAAAACTTTTCTTTTTTTAATAAAAGTATCACCTGAGTTTCTACCCATAACCTGAAAGGAAACCTTCACAGTGAAATATAAGGTGAATTGATTAAAAGGAACTGAAAAAAAAAACATGTTAAACTTTCTCAATTGCGAATTCTCTTTAATTATTCAATTACAAATACCAGCTTCATTGATTATTTTACTGATAATGACTTTAGAAAAAACATTGTGCGTGTACATACCATTACATAAAGGTAAAATAAAATTAAACACTTCCAAAACTGAATTTGGTGTTGATCCTTATGGAAGTGAATATACAGAACTACCAGACAGTATTGTCTCTTTTACTTTTAATCTAGCAATTACGCCTGGTTGCGAGTATGTTTAAGTACATTTAAGTTTTTACAGATGGATAAAGGTATCTCACAGTTCAGTAAAAAGTGCTTTACAGTGCAGAGTTCCTGTCATGGAAGATTTATACTGCGTATGCCAAAGGATACTGAGCTATTTGCAGCTTCTAAAAGATAGTGGAGTACAGATGTGCATAGATTACTTCCCTAACCACAACTTTTATCTTGCTATTTACAGAAAGTTACAGGGTTACAGAGATTCCTGTGAGAACACGTGGATCTGGTGGTTAAAACTCCATGAGGACTTTTGCACTTGATGCTATCAAGTGCTAGATCAAATCCCAAAACTGACTTTCTGGTTTATTACAAACACTATTCATAACTTTTATAATGTTATAGTCTACACTTTAATTACTGTGAATAATGTGAATATATAAGCACCATCCTTTCCTCAAATGGAGAAAAACAGGAGCTATGCAATTATTTAATTACTTTTCAGGAATTGAAAAAGATATTTCATATAACTTTTATATATATTTTTTATATGTTCATGTATACACTATATATGTATATATGAATATATGTGTTATTTATGTTATATATTATATTACATATATTATAGATAAATTTTATTTCTGTATATCTGATATATTTTTATATGTCTATTCATATATAAAGATATTTCTTCCTAAATAGCCTTGGATATAATGATGTATCAGATTGGTGTTAAACCCCTGTGTTAGCACAGTTTAGAGATTCTGCACACTTTCTTCTTTACTTGGGTCTTTTTGCTTGCCTATTTTATGCAAAACTGATCAGATGATCTCATAAGCCTATTCATTACAGGTTAGAGATAGAAGGAAGTGATTTTTTTTGTTTGCAACTGGGACTTAAAAAAAGATCACAAAATCACACAACTTCTAAAAATGTTTCAATGATAAGCTATTTTCTACTACCTGCCTT